ATGCTCTGATTCTGGAGCAACTGTACTTCCCACCTCAGGGCTGTTTGGACATACATAGGTGCTTATAAACTCTGAAGTGCTATATAAAGCATTTGTTATCCTTATGTAGTATTACTACTACTACTAGTACTACTACTACTACTACTAGTATTACTAGTACTACTACTGGTACTAATTATGAGCAATATTAGTAGGTATAGTATATAATGGTGTATATTCCTTATTAATATTGTTTAATTATTGTCTCTTTACAAAGAACTTAAACCACAATCACAGAATCCAGGGGCAAGTAATTGCCACAAGATTTTTTCAGTGTGACATTCAAGCATAAACTTTCCGTTCCCTTTCGGGGTGATGATCTCTACTACTTAGGGACAGAATTGGTGAAGAATGGGGAAAAGGGATCCTGGCCACCATTTTGCTGATATAATATCTTGCGTAACACTCTGTTTTGCTGGAGGGATATTCTCTTGGAATGAATTTCTTTTTCCTCTTCTGAGGAGTGGCAGACTCAATAATAAGTCTCTGAAGAAATTCTCTGCTATGGTTGTTAGCAGTGAGTTTCATTTAGCTCATAGCTTCAGACAATAAGATGGCTACTTCCTTTGTGTCCCAAGGAGTTCACAGAGTATATCACAGTAGAATCAAGAGTTAGTATTCCAGAAGCTAGGTGCAAATATGGGCCAGGAGCAGTGGCAGGACCAGATAGAATGATGGTATTGATCTCTGTTTCTTATCAGGGTTCCCTTGGACAGTCACTAGAAAAGAGCTCCAGCAGGTAGTTAAGTCAGGAGACAGCTTTGTTCTAGAATAAGGGGACATAAGTATAACTGATGCAGGAGTTAGGTCCAGTAACTTCATCTATGTCTGGGATTGGATAGTAGTAGGAGCAGCTGCATCACAACCCCACCTCACACCCCCTCTGCCAGCCACCAGAGCATTTTCATCTATAGTGAACCCAGATGCTCTGCAACATGGTTCCTCCTGTTTCTCTCCCTGTCCCTGTAGTAAGTGATCACTAGCCTTTTAGGAGATAACTGTTCCTGGCCCCTTCCCATTTCTCATCCTAATCCTCCTCAACACTAACCCAAACTATGTCCCATTCCAATCTGCCCACCCCTTTCACTGTGCCCTTTGGAATTCCTGTTCTATAGACAATAAATTCCCTTTCATCTTGGATCTCTTTCTCTTTTATTCTTTCTATCTACTTCCATCCCTCAATCTATTATTACTGAGACCTGGCTCCCACTTGACCATCCCCACTGCAGAAATTATCCACACTGCATCCCCAGTTGTCCTCTCTGGAACTCACCGTACCCAGCACACTAGAGCTGGAGAGGGAGTTGGAGTACTACTTGCTCCTCACTGTCCCTTCTAGACGTTCTATCTCTATCACTCCACAGCTTTCCCTCCTTGTGATGTCCACTGATTCAGAATTTTCTACCCAGTCCATATCATGGTGGCTGTAGTATGTTGACCTCCAAGTCACTCTCCTCCTTTCTCGAGGAGTTCAGTCGCCAATGAGCATTTATTCCTTTATTAATTACATACTATCTTCCTGGAATTGTGCTAAGCACTGGTTCACCCTCTTCTCTGCTCAACAACTTCTGCCCTTAATTCTAAGGGACTTGAATATTTGCATAAATGTTCTCTAAAATTCCCTACCCTACCAATTCCTTAGTTTCTTTAAATCTCATGACCTTCTTTACTCCATTGAATCTTACCATTATTCACAAGTCTTTACTTCCTTAGTTAAAAACTCTGACATTCCCCCATCTGGCCATAACCTCCTATCATTCTGCCTCTCCCTATGCCTTGCCTATCCCAAACTTACTCTTTTCACTTGTAAAGACCTTCAGTCCTTCCATGAAACCCCCAGTAACCCACTTGTTAGTCATTTCAACTCCACACTGTCCTTTGTTCTTGAATCCTTTGCCCCCTTGTCTTATTGTCATTTATTTCTTACAAACCTCAACACTTGATTTTTCCTATCATCTTCCTCCTCTGCTGTAATTCACCATTTGCTGAATGAAGCTGGAAAAAGTCACAGTCACTCATGCTGACTTGAATTACATTATACATTGGTGTTATTCAACCTCAACCAGGCCCTCACTATAGCAAGGAAGTTATTTTATTCCTCCCTGATTGATTTCCTATCTCCCCCCAAATTAATTCCAAACCTTCTCTTCCCTCCTCAAGTCTCCTATACCACCCCTCCGACCCCTACCCCTAGTCTTGCCATTTAACTTGAGCTTCCTCTTTTTTCAGTCTCTTCAACTCAAAATCCCATTGGTACCATCTCTTATTCTCTCCTTTCCCCCAGTCATTGACAAAGAGGTGGCCTTTGTTTTTGCCACAGCTGACCCCTCGACATGTGGACTTGGTCCTGTCTACTCCTGTCTTCTCCGGTAGATTGCATCCCTTCCCCCACCCCTCTCGTTTTCAGCTTCTCCTTATCTATACTGGTTCCTCTCCTACTGCCTTCAGGCCTTCAAACATGTTCAAGTCTGTTTCTTCCATCCTTAAAAGATTTTTACTAGAACTCCCATCCCTCAATCTATTATCCTATTTCTCTACTCCATTTCCCAGACAAATTCTATGAAAAATTTGTTTGTACTTACTGCTTCTATTTCCTCTACCCACTCACAACTCAATTCTGCCTTTATCACTCAACTGAAATGGTTCTCTCCAAAGTTACCATTGATCTCCTGATTACTAGATCAAACAGTCTTTTCTTAGTCCTCATTCTTCTCAGTCTCTCTGTACATTTGACACTACTGACCACCCCCTCCCTTTGGATACTCTCTCTTCTCTGGGTTTTTGTGACTTTCCTGGTTCTATCTTTCCGACTTCTCCTACTCAATCACCTTTGCTTATTTATCATCCATATCTTACCCCCTAACTGGAGGTGTTCCCTAAGGTTCTGTTCTAGTCCTTTTTCATTTTTCTCTCTATATTATCAGCTTCCATTGATTTAACTATCATTTCTAATGCAGATATCTCCTGGATCTATATATCCATCCATGGTCTCTCCTCAGAACTTCAATCTCCCATGATTATTGGGTATTTCAAACTGGATATCCCAGCGACATCTCAAGCTCAAAATGTGCAAAATTGAACTCATTATCTTTTTTAATAGTATTTTATTTTTTTCCCCAATTACACGTCAAGACAATTTTTAGCATTCATTTTTACAAGATTTTGAGTTCCAAGTTTTTCTCCCTCTCTTCCCTCCTCTCTTCTAAAAATGGTAGGCAATTTTATATAAGTTATACATGTGCTATCATGTAAAACATATTTCCATGTTAGTCACAGCTGTGAAAGAAGAAACAGATCAAAAGGAAAAATACCATGAAAAAGAATAAAATAAGTGAAAAAAATATGCTTCAATCCGCATTCATAGTCCTTTAGTTCTTTAACTGGATATGGACAGCATTTTCCTTTGTGAGTCCTTTGTACTTGTCTTGGATCATTGTTTTGCTGAGAAGAGCTGAGTCATTCATAGTGGACCATCACACAACTGGTTCTGCTCATTTCTCTTTGCATCAGTTTGTACAAGTCTTTCCAGGTTTTTCTGAAATCTGCCTGTTTATCATTTCTTATTGCATGCACAATAGTATTCCGTTACATTCATATACCACAACTTGTTCAGCCATTCCCCAATTAATGGGCATCCCTTCAATTTCCAATATTTTGCTACGATGAAAAGGGCTGTTCTAAATACATTTTATACAAATAGGTCATTTTCCCTTTTTTATGATCTCTTTGGGATACAGACCTAGTAGTGGTATTGCTGGATCAAAGGATTTGCAGTTTGGTTGCCCTTTGGGCATATGAACTCATTATCTTTTCCCTCAAATCTTCCCCTCATCCAAACTTACTTATTATTTTCTAGGACACCACCATCCTTCCAGTCTCCCAGTTTCATAACCTTGGCATTATCCTCAATTCCCCATTCCTTTTCATCCCACATATCCAATCAGTTGCCACATCTTGCCATTTTTATCTCTACAACAAACATCTCTGGGATCCAACCCCTTTTCTCCCCTCACATAGATACCACTTCATTTCAGGCCATCACCATTCATGTAGATTGTTGTAATGGCTTCCTAACTGGTCTCTCACCACTCCAATCCATCCTCCACTCTAATTTTTCCTAAGTGCACATCTGATATATGACTCCCCTATTCAGTCAATTCTGGTAGCTTCCTATTGCCATTCGGATCAAACAAATTCCTGGTTAGCTTTTAAAAGCCTTTACCACTTAGCTCCAGCCTTTATTAGCAGCCTTACTGGACATTTCTCTCCTGTATGTATTGTGTTCTAACCAAACCACCCTTCTCTGCATGGTGAGTAGGAACGCTGAATTTTGTGTTAGAAAAGGTGGGCTCAGATCCAGACTCTGCCACTTAGACTTTGGACATATTATTCCTCCTCCAAATGTTTCCTCAGCTGTAAGTGAGAGGTTTAGATTAGGTGACTTCTGTGGTCCCTTCTAGTTCTTTCTCCTGTGCCATACTTAAGCATAACTGTTGTATTAGTCTTCCTTCTAACACTGCCGATGTTGTATGCTGACTTCCTTCCTTGTAACAAGAGAACTACAGTTAAGTGAAACAGATTGCCCCATTGGCCATATCTGACAACATGGGCCTACTTCCACCCTTTTGGTTTATCCCCTCCACTCTCCAGAGAGGAGGGAAGCATACTTCACTGTGAGTCCTCTGAAATCACGATTGGGTCATCATTAATTTCGGTGTCTTTCAGGAGCCATTCTTCTGTCTTAAATGGAAGGAATTTGGGTCAGGAAGCATCTATCTGATGATAGAGAATGTCCTCTGAGAAGCATTTCTGCCAGAGAACAATATAGTTTAATTAAATACTCCACACTACATGGCCATCAGGTGCAGTTCACATGGGATAAGCTACAGACATCTTCTGGAATGCAAGATGCTTCCCCAACAACTTCACTTAAAAGACTTGTTTTTTTTTCTTGCTTGTAGGTCTTCACTCAGAAAGCAGCAAGTCCAAAATAGGAAGACACCATTCTTGACACCCAGTTCTGGGAAAGCTTTCCCAGGGTCCTCCTAAAGGATGAGGCAGCTCAAAGGAAAACCCAAGAAGGAGACTTCAAAAGATAAGAAGGAGCGGAAGCAAGCCATGCAGGAGGCCCGGCAGCAGATCACCACTGTGGTGCTGCCTACGCTGGCTGTGGTGGTGGTCCTGATCGTGGTGTTTGTCTATGTTGCCACACGCCCTGCCACTGCTGAGTGAGCCATGCCTCACACCATCTCAGGACTGGAGGGGACTAGATCAGGAGGCAGAAAAGAAAAGCCAAAAAGGAAAAAAAAAATTGCTTCTAATTTCAGAGACTTTAATGCTACTGAGTCTGAAGCTCCCTATCTCCCCTGGCCTTGGGCTTGATTAAAGTTTCTCAGTTCTCTTGGAATGTAATAGGAAATGTATTATCAGTGAATGTGCCATACACCTTATGGTCCACTTCATGTGCCTTTCAGACTTAAAAAAGGGGTGTTTCTTTCTAAAACCGATGTATATGTAGCTCCATCTGGAGAAAGGAGAAATCTGCCGTGCCATAAATCAGTATGAATCAGCTTTCCACTCATCCCTGTCATCTAGAGCATAGTTTCTATGACTCTTTTCATATGTGTGCTTCACCACTTCCAAAGGGACTGTATGTCTCTGTGCTTCATGTGATTTGAAATATATCAACTCAAAGGTGAAATATTTATTTTTGGAATAAAGGAGATTATAGCCTTAAATGGGATGTTTATTTTGTTTTTCTGGAAGTCTGTATTCATTGTCTTGTTCTTGCTTGAAGTGCAAAGTTGTAACAAGTGCTGAACCTGGAGTCAGGAAACCTTGGCCGCCTAGTAGCTTTGGGACCCTTCCCTTCTTTGGGCTTTACTTTCCTCTTTTGTAAAGTGAGGGGGTTGGCCTAGATGATCTAAGATTCCTTCTAGTTTTGACATTTCTAAGATTCTGTGACTTTTTTTCCACATGCTATTCTTTGTTCTATCTGTTTCAACCTATACTTCTTTCTTCCTTTCTGCACCTCTCCTTTTCTTCCCTGCTGCTGTTTACTCTATTAAAATTATACTCTTGCGTCATTATTATAGAATCTGCCAGCTAGATGTATAGTCCTTTTGTACCCTGTTCCAGTCAGACCACATCTTAGTTATGGTATTCATTCCAAGGTGCCATGTTTTAGGAAGGCCACATAGACAAAGTGATGTCCCTTCCAATTATGTGATTGTTTCCCAAGTGAATCATTTTCTGATCCGATTAAGAGTATCTTAATCAGTGCAGAAAAAATGCCTTTTGCTGGATTCTTTGAGCAAAATTGAGGTATGATTGGCATGCGTTAGGCAGGAATGCTAATTTACATCCATTAGGCTTACCTATTTAAACATTTACAAACAGCCATACAAAGGTGGGCCCAAAAGTGGCAGGCAGGCATTTTCTGTTCCTCAGTGAAAACATGAAATACAATTAAGCTTGGGTTCCAGGTGGGTGTGAAATATAAATTACCCATTTGGGTCAGTTCCTTAAAAGAAACAAATGAAAAACAATGAAATGGCATTTTAGGCCCTGATTTTGTAAAGGAGTTTGACAACTTTATCAGGCCTTTAAAACTTTCTTTTCTGCCTTTTAAAAACAAATTCCTACTAATGGATCTTGCTTCTGTATTTTCTTTCTTGTCGTTGCTGATTACAGAGATATTTGTGTGCACAGAAGCACTTCTAATTTCCCTTCCTGTCTGATTCGTTCATGGTGCTATTCACAACTAAAGGTATAAAGCATCTTAAAGCCCATCCTATGGAAAGAAAGAAACATTGTCCATTTAGAGATCAGCAGGGATGGGAGAAGGTTCATAATATCATAGGTTCAGAGGTGTAAGAGAGAGCCCAGAGCCCATCTATGTATATATGATGAAACTGATGCCAGCCCAAGGAGGTTCTTGTGACTTGTGACAAGGTCACATGGGTGGTAAGTTGGCAGAAGCAGAATCCAGCGTCCTTATTGTATTCATGAGGTCCCGCCGTCCAGAGGTTGTGACTTGCGTCAAGATACACGCGTCACTGACCTCCTATGCAGCACTCATCTCTGAAAGACCATATTCGTTGGACTGCTATCCAAGGAAGGGTGAACATATGCTTCCTGGAGAATACCAATGTGGCACTGGCTTGATGAAGGGGTTTGCTAACGTTGATCTGTCTGTTGCCAACTGGAGGTGATTTGTGGGATTTCTAGTTTTTCTTTCTCTGGAGTTTTTAAAACCTTGCTACCCTTCTGTTAATCAGTTGTGTTTCTAAGGAAGGAATTGGAAAAAGAAACTGAAGTTTACATGGTTGAGTTTAATATTCCTCTGCCTGGTTCAAAGTTTATGCCTTCTTGGGTAATTCTTATCATTGAGGACTCAATAGGCAAGGCTGCTTAGAGAGGTAGGTAGATCGATAGATTGATTGGTAGATAGATAGGTAGATGGGTAGATAGGGATGGATAGATAGATATATGAGTGGATGGATCGAGTTGGGTAAATAGGTAGATAGATAGATAGGATATTTGTTAAGCTCTTTCTCCCTACCAGGAGTTGTGCAAAACACCGAAGACATAAATACAAGAAAGTAAAACTCCCTGTCCTCAAGAAGTTCCCTTTATCATGAGAGAAGGCAACACATAGAGGTCTGCAGGAAAGTGGATCATGCCTGATCCCAGCAAGGAAGGCAAAATCAGAGCCAAGGGAACCAGGAGAGAGTCTGTGTTTATGTGGGTGTTAGCCACCTATCTGTGGCTAAAAAAGTTCACCATCCTATAGCCTATTGCCTGATGATTAGCCTCTCTGAATCTGGTTGAGCTTATACATGGATGATTATCCTGCATTCTGCCCCTGGCTCCATACTGGAAATATTTTCAGGTCAGTAGGATTTCCAAGGTGTGGTGATGTCGATTGGGAACCCAAGATCAAGATGTCATAATGAGACTTTGGAGGAGGACATAGGGGAATCGTAGCAGTTGAGAGCTGGAAGGCAACCCAATGGCTATCTCTTCTAATCTATATTTGAAAAAAATCCCTGAACACAGAGATTCTTCACCATTTTTGTGTTAAGGACTCCTTTGGCAGTTTGGTGAAACCTATAGACCCCTTTTCAGGGTAATTTTTTAAAATTCATAATTGAAGAAAATGTTAAATTTCAGTTAAAAGTGAGTGAAAATAAAAATGAATTTTTTTCTGTCATTCAAGTTCACAGACCTCCTAACATTTATCCACAAGACCTCTTGGGGTTTTGTAGACCTCCGTTAAAAAGTGGGGCAGCTAGGTGGCAGAGTAGATAGTACTGGAGTCAGGAAGGCTTGTTTTCCAGAATTCAAATCTGGCCTCAGACACTTAACTAGCTATGTGACTCTGAACAGGTCACTTAACCCTGTTTGCCTCAGTTTCCTCATCTGTAAAATGAACTGGAGAAGGAAATGGCAAGCCACTCTAGTATCTTTGCCAAGAAAACCCCAAATGGGGTTGCTGAGGGTCAGATGCAACTGAGACGACTGAACAACAGCGAAAGTTGAGAAAGGGAGCACATGTTTACTCACCCTTCCTTGGGTAGAATTCCACCAAAGAAAAGTGCTGCGTAAGAAGTCAAACTAAAAGAACAGCAAGTCAATTGACAAGGAAATATATTTTATAAAAAATATTTTATTTTTTCTATCTGTGCCAATTCACTTTAAAGACAAATAAATATAAGCAGATGTAAATGGATTATTTTGGTATGCATCACTGGGCACACCGGCAGGTGAGGCTATTTGACAGTCTGAGAATCATCTCATAGATCTGACTAAATCAGAGATTTACAGAAAAGAAGACTTGGAAGGGAACTCAGGTTATTTGTATCTGAGCAGGAATCCCTTCCACCATGTCCCTGACAAATGGCCATCTAGACTTGACTTGGAGACCTCTTAGTGTGGGAAATCCATTATTTATCTCTTTGGGTAGTCCATTCCATTTTAGCACAGGTCTAATTGATGGGAAAGTTTGTTTTTGTTTTTTTTTTTAAATTCCCTGACATCCAGGGGAAATTTCTCACGTAGCAATGATTCTGTGTGAAGAAATGGGAGGTAGAGTTGAGGCTTTCTCATGATGTTTATTACCTAGGCGCTTAATCTCTTGTGCATCCTGTTTTGTCAACAGAGAGATGACTAACACCAGGTGAAGTAAAGAGAATACACGATTAAGAAGCAGATTTATAGATTCATTGTTTAATTCTCACCATTCCTGGCATCACAATGTGAGAGTTGAAAGGCATTTAAGAGACCTAGTATTATCCCTTCATTTTACAAATGAAACAGATCTGAAAGACAATGACTTGCCCAGCCACACAAAGAACTCAGAACTTGACTTCATCTCCTGATTTTAGATCTCAAGTTCTTTTCCTATTATTTACTATTTTTCCTCCCACCAGCTCTGCTGCTTGGTTTCAACTCCAGCATCTTGAAGCCTTCTCCCTACCCTACTCCATCCTGCCTTCCAGGAAAAGCCCATCACCAGGAAACAAACTCATGATGCAAATTTCATCCCCTTGGATACTCACACCTCATCATGTCCCTCAGATGCTTCTGCTCCTCTGATTGGAGGGCTAGAGAGTGGGGCAAAGAACTTCCAAAGTCTCCATTTAAAGAGGGCTCAGAAGCCCAGCCAACTGTTCATTTCTCACCAGCTGGACTGTTAGGTTGTGACTCCATCCACCACTGGGGCACATGCCCTGCTGAGTCTAACTTTTCAGCTCCTTTTTGTGTATTGTCTTCTAGTTGGATTGGGAACTCCTTGAGAGCACGGACTATCTTTCTTGTTCTTATTTGTATCCCAGGGTAGGGCACATAGTAGGTACTTAATAAGGATAAGATAATAAACTTTAAGATTGTGATTTCCCTCAGTTAAGGCAGTTCCCACACAAAGATGAAATCTTGTATTTCCATAATTTATAATATATTCTTAGTGCTTAAATATTTTCAGTGTATTGGGAATAATTTGAACCATACCTATATATATATAATTTGGACCATACCTGAATAATTTGGACCATACCTATATATATATATATATATAATTTGGACCATACCTGAATAATTTGGACCATACCTATATATATATATAATTTGGACCATACCTGAATAATTTGGACCATACCTATATATATACAATTTGGACCATACCTATATATATATAGATAGATATAGATATATAGGTATACACGTATCTGTGTCACTCCTCACCTGGATTTTTCTAATATCCTCTGGACTCCATTCCCTGCCACCACTTTGCCCTCTCTAATCATTCTTTAATACAACAGCCAAAGTAATCTTGATGCCCAAGGATGACCATGAGACTCATTCGCTTAAGAATCTCCAATGGCTCCCTGTTGGCTGTACTGCAGGACTTCTTAAACTTTTTCCACTTTTGACCTCAGCAGTGACCTGAGGGCATGTGCAGTGCAAAGTGCTTGTGCTTTGTGTTCAGAACCAAGGCTATGGTGAAGTTGCAAGATACAACATGGGCTAGCACAGCCAAAAACACCTCGGATTCATTGCATAGTTGATTTTTAATTAATTTTTGGTCATTTCGTGTTCAGAAACCTTTTAATGCCAAATTTTTCACAACTCCGCATGGGGTCGTTACCCACAGTTTAAGCAGCCCTGAGCTATAGGATCAAATTTAAATGACAGTCTGGCAAAAGCACAGAATTTAAGAGTTGAGGGCCATCCATTC